AAATCACATCACCAATCTTGTCTCCAAATATCACCCAAACCGTCCTCTCCGCTCCTCTCACAACCTCCTGCTCTCTAGCTCCCTTGTCTCCTCCTCCCATTCTTGTCTCCTGGACTTCTCCAAAGCTTCCCCCATCCTCTGGAACTCTCTACCCCAATCTATCAGACTATCGCCGACTCTACTCCTCCACTTTTAGGCGATCTCTAAAAACCGATCTCTTCAGGGAAGCCTACCCCGCCCTCCGCTAATAACCAAATCTTCTACTCTTCCAACCAGTCCATCCCCCACAGTTACTACCTTTTGTACCACTAGTCCCTCCCTCTTAGATTGTAAGCTCCCAGGATCAGGGCCCTCCTATCCCTCTTGTATTGAACTGTATTGTTGCTGTATTGTCTCCCGTTATATTGTACAGCGCTGAGCAAACTGTTGGTGCCATAAATCCTGTATAATAATAAGTCACAGCTCCATGTGGGAGGGGGAGGGGATCAAACTGCATTCCACTGCATTATATTGCATTCATACTTTTTAGTGTGGATACCCTCTCCCCCCACACACAGATCACCTACCTCCCCCCACACACACACAGATCACCTACCTTCCCCCCACACACAGATCACCTACCTCCCCCCCACACACAGATCACCTACCTTCCCCCCACACACAGATCACCTACCTCCCCCCACACCCAGATCACCTACACACAGATCACCTACCCCCCCACACACAGATCATCTACCCCCCCCCACACACAGATCACCTACCTCCCCCCACACACAGATCACCTACCTCCCCTACACACAGATCACCTACCTCCCCCCACACACAGATCACCTACCTCCCCCACACACACAGATCGCCCCCCCCCCACACACAGATCACCTACCTCCCCCCCCAACACATATATCACCCCCCACATACAGATCACCTCCCCACACTTACTTACCTCCCCCAATACAGAAAACCTCCCCCCCACACAGATCACCTACCTCCCCCCCACACAGATCACCTACCTCCCCCCCCACACACAGATCACCTTCCTCCCCTTAGTACAGAACACCCTCCCCCACCACACAGATAACCTCTACCTCCCCTCAATACAGAACACCTACCCCCCCCACACAGATCACCTCCCCCCCACACACACACAGAGATCACCTATCTTTCCCACATACAGATCACCCCCCACACACAGATCACCGTCCTCCTCTTAGTACAGAACACCTCCCCCACCACACACAGATAACCTACCTCCCCTCAATACAGAACACCTACCCCCCCCCACACACACATAGATCCACCTCCCCCCACACACAGATCACCCCTCCACACACATAGATCACCCCCCCCACACACACACACACACACACACACAGATCACCTACCTCTCCCCACACACACAGATCACCTTCCTCCCCTTAGTACAGAACACCTCCCCCAGCACACAGATCACTTACCTTCCCTCAATACAGAACACCTACCCCCCAAACAGATCACCCCCCCACACACAGATCACCTACCTCCCCCCACACACAGATCACCTACCTCCCCCCACACACAGATCACCTACCTCCCCCCACACACAGATCACCTACCTCCCACACACAGATCACCTACCTCCCCCACACACAGATATACTGGAGTCCATCATGAAGGCAGAATCAGTGAAACTGCACAACTTTCTAGCCTGGTTGGCCTTCATTCTGCCCTGCCTGTCTGCTCTGAGTTCTGGCCCAACTGGCTGGATTGGGCTCCAGTGTGTGTAAGTAGTATGTAGGGCAGTGTACAGAGGTCAGTAGGATGTAGCGCAGTGCACAGGGGTCAGTAGGATGCAGGGCAGTGCACAGGGGTCAGTAGTATGTAGCGCAGTGCACAGGGGTCAGTAGGATGCAGGGCAGTGCTCAGGGGTCAGTAGGATGCAGGGCAGTGCACAGGGGTCAGTAGATGCAGGGCAGTGCACAGGGGTCAGTAGGATGCAGGGCAGTGCACAGGGGTCAGTAGGATGCAGGGCAGTGTACAGAGGTCAGTAGGATGCAGGGCAGTGTGCAGAGGTCAGTAGGATGCAGGGCAGTGTGCAGAGGTCAGTAGGATGCAGGGCAGTGTGCAGTGGTCAGTAGGATGCAGAGCAGTGTGCAGAGGTCAGTAGGATGCAGGGCAGTGTGCAGAGGTCAGTAGGATGCAGGGCAGTGTGCAGAGGTCAGTAGGATGCAGGGCAGTGTACAGAGGTCAGTAGTATGTAGGGCAGTGTGCAGAGGTCAGTAGGATGCAGGGCAGTGTACAGAGGTCAGTAGGATGCAGGGCAGTGTAGAGAGGTCAGTAGTATGTAGGGCAGTGTGCAGAGGTCAGTAGTATGTAGGGCAGTGTACAGAGGTCAGTAGTATGTAGGGCAGTGAGCAGAGTTCAGTAGTATGTAGGGCAGTGTACAGAGGTCAGTAGTATGTAGGGCAGTGTGCAGAGGTCAGTAGTATGTAGGGCAGTGTACAGAGGTCGGTAGGATGCAGGGCAGTGTACAGAGGTCAGTAGGATGCAGAGCAGTGCACAGAGGTCAGTAGGATGCAGGGCAGTGTACAGAGGTCAGTAGTATGTAGGGCAGTGTGCAGAGGTCAGTAGGATGCAGGGCAGTGTGCAGAGGTCAGTAGGATGCAGGGCAGTGTACAGAGGTCAGTAGGATGCAGAGCAGAGGTCAGTAGGATGCAGGGCAGTGTACAGAGGTCAGTAGGATGCAGGGCAGAGTACAGAGGTCAGTAGGATGCAGAGCAGAGGTCAGTAGTATGTAGGGCAGTGTGCAGAGGTCAGTAGGATGCAGGGCAGTGTGCAGAGGTCAGTAGGATGCAGGGCAGTGTACAGAGGTCAGTAGGATGCAGAGCAGAGGTCAGTAGGATGCAGGGCAGTGTACAGAGGTCAGTAGGATGCAGGGCAGAGTACAGAGGTCAGTAGGATGCAGAGCAGAGGTCAGTAGTATGTAGGGCAGTGTGCAGAGGTCAGTAGGATGTAGGGCAGTGTACAGAGGTCAGTAGGATGCAGAGCAGTGTACAGAGGTCAGTAGGATGCAGGGCAGTGCACAGAGGTCAGTAGGATGCAGAGCAGTGTACAGAGGTCAGTAGGATGCAGAGCAGTGTACAGAGGTCAGTAGTATGTAGGGCAGTGCACAGGGGTCAGTAGGATGCAGAGCAGTGTACAGAGGTCAGTAGGATGCAAGGCAGTGTACAGAGGTCAGTAGGATGTAGGGCAGTGTGCAGAGGCCGAGTAGTATGTAGGGCAGTGTACAGGGGTCAGTAGGATGCAGGGCAGTGTACAGGGGTCAGTAGGATGCAGAGCAGTGTGCAGAGGTCAGTAGAATGCTGAGCAGTGTACAGAGGTCAGTAGGATGCAGAGCAGTGTACAGAGGTCAGTAGGATGCTGAGCAGTGTGCAGAGGTCAGTAGGATGCAGGGCAGTGTGCAGAGGTCAGTAGGATGCAGAGCAGTGTACAGAGGTCAGTAGGATGTAGGGCAGTGTGCAGAGGTCAGTAGGATGCTGAGCAGTGTGCAGAGGTCAGTAGGATGCTGAGCAGTGTACAGAGGTCAGTAGGTTGCAGAGCAGTGTGCAGAGGTCAGTAGGATGCAGGGCAGTGTGCAGGGGTCAGTAGTATGTAGGGCAGTGTACAGAGGTCAGTAGTATGTAGGGCAGTGTGCAGAGGTCAGTAGTATGTAGGGCAGTGTACAGAGGTCGGTAGGATGCAGAGCAGTGTACAGAGGTCAGTAGGATGCAGGGCAGTGTGCAGAGGTCAGTAGGATGCAGGGCAGTGTGCAGAGGTCAGTAGGATGCAGGGCAGTGTGCAGGGCAGTGTGCAGAGGTCAGTAGGATGCAGAGCAGTGTGCAGAGGTCAGTAGGATGCAGTGCAGTGTGCAGAGGTCAGTAGGATGCAGAGCAGTGTACATTTATTTTGCATCCTAGTCTCATATGGTAAATGAAGAGGTTACTAAATTACAATTTTTTTTTTCCCTACTAGTAATGGTGGTGACCAGTGAATTTTAGCAGGACTGCTGCAGGCATTCTGACACTGGGGGGGGACTGACTTGGTGTCACTGACATCCCCAGTGACACCAATACAGTGATCAGTGCTAAAAAAAAACAGCACGGACACTGTAGTAATGGCACTGGGCAGGAACGGGTTAATATGAGGGGCAATCAAAGGGGTATTGTGTGCTGGGAGTGTTTTACTAGGGGGCGGGGTGTGTGTTACTAGGGGGCGCGGGGTGTGTGTTACTAGGGGGTGGGTGTGTATTACTAGGGCAGCAGGGTGGGTGTTCTTCACTGTAAGCACACTGATCAGGATGGATGTGTAGTGTGCCTGAGCCCACAGAAAGGAGGACTGTTAGTAAACAAAACAGTCTTCCTCCTCATCGGTGATTGTCAGTAATCACCGAGCGCCAGCAGGTAATCCTCAGCCGGCACCCTGTGATTGACATCCACGGCCGCAAATAGCGGCGTCTTTAGGGCCCCTACCCGGAAATGCAAAATCACGTATATATATATATACAGTATATCTGCTATACGGCGGCGGGTAAGCGGTTCAAGTACTATGTGTAGAGTTGTAGTTATCTGCTATGGAAGGCCCAAGTCCTGAAGGATCTGCTATGTTTGTAGTTTAACATAAACTTCAATAAAAATGTGTCGTAAATTCTCACAAAGCTGAAATAGAAAAATGTAAACAAGTATTACTAATAATGAAGGTTAAAGGGAAAGTTTGCCAAAGCTACATTTTACTGAATGTTTTAATCTCTCTACAGGTGGATTGATGAACCACATTTTTCCTCAAGATGATCCTCCAAAAGCACATCATCTGGTCACTGGAGACAGGTCATATGGGTGTTCTGAGAGACTGAAAGGCTTGATTGCACTTCACTGAATTGATGGACCAAGTTTTTGGTCAGGTTGGTCTTCATATTCACAACTGAGCCACCCTGATGACAGGTCCATATGGGTGTTCAAAGAGCCTGAAAGTCTTTATATTGGAGGATTCAGGCTGGACAGAAGCCATATTCATGTTCCACATTTCGTGATTGTTTTGTGTATTCTTCAGCATTGATCCAACGTCCAGAGGACATCAGGTGAGAAGTCAATTTAGGGCTCTGGAAGTGACAACGGCTTTAACTCAAACCCAAGAGAGAAGCTTTATCTTGTTTGGATTAAAGGTTTTACAGCTAAATCAGACCTGACTAGATACCAGATGGAACGCATGGAAGGGAACCTGTATCTGGGTTCTGAATGGGACACGGCGGCATTTACACCACGACCAAACCTTGGACATGAGAAGGTTCACACTGGAGAGAGGAGGTATTGGTGTTGTCAGTGTGGCAAAACTTTTACACAGAAGTCAAACCTCATCCGACATGAGAGGGTTCACGCTGGGGAGAAGCCATTTCAGTGTTCTGAATGTGACAAAGCTTTTTTATTGAAGTCAGATCTTCATAGACATAAGATGGTTCACATTGGATCAAAACCGTTTCAGTGTTCTGAATGTGGCAAAGCTTTTACACAGAGGTCACAACTTATCAGACACCAAAGAGTTCACACCGGAGAGAAGCCCTATCAGTGTTCTGAATGTAACAAAGCTTTTATAGAGAAGGCCAATCTTATTATACACCTGAGGGAACATACTGGTGAAGAGCCATTTCAGTGTTCTGAATGTGACAAAGCTTTTACAGTGAAGTCTAAGCTCCTCAGACACGAGAGGGTCCACACTGGGGTGAAGCCATTTCATTGTTCAGAATGTGATAAATACTTTACATTGAAGGCCAACCTTATCAGACACGAGAGGGTTCACACTGGAGAGAAGCCGTACACGTGTTCTGAATGTGACAAAGCTTTTACCGAGAAGGCACAACTTATCCTACATGAGAGGAACCACACCGGAGAGAAGCCGTATCGGTGCTTCGAATGTGACAAAGCTTTTAAAATGAAGTCTGATCTTGTTAATCACCAGAGGGTTCACACCGGAGAGAAGCCATATCAGTGTTTGGAATGTGACAAAGCTTTTACACGGAGGTCAAACCTTGTCAGACACCAGAAGGTTCACACGGGAGAGAAACCATTTCAGTGTTCTGAATGTGCTAAAGCTTTTGTTGTGATGTCAGATCTGATCAGACATAGGACGGTTCACAATGGAGGAAAACCATATCCGTGTTTTAGAGAAGCCTTTTCATTGTGCTGAATGTAACCAGGCATTTACAGAGAAGGCAAAGCTTCTCATTCACCAGGGGGTTCACACTGGAGGGGGGCCATTTCAGTGTTATGAATGTGACAAATCTTTTACACAGAAGTCAAACCTCATGAGACATGTGAGGGTCCACACTGGAGAGAGGCCGTATCAATGCTCTGAATGTGATATCACTTTTACAGTGAAATCAAACCTTATTAGACACTTGAAGGTTCACAGTGGAGGGAAATTGTGTTCTGACAAAGCTCATCGGGCACTGGAGGTCTCATTGTCTTCATCCTCAGATGCAGAGAGGACATTCTAGGAGAAGGGGGGCTATTAAAGGGGTAGCAGTTATGTCAGTGTAGAAGAGTTTGGAGGGTCCCAGCCATTTCATACCCCACCAAACGATCTAGTGGAAAGGTACAAGGATGCTTTGCATAACCAACTTGCTACAATTGGTGAACAATCAGGAATGTAAAGGATGGACGCATTGAGTTGAGTGCTTATGGCCATCAGCCACACACACCGAAGGAGCTGTCATGTTTCACATGACTGTCATATGCCTTTAAGTGTTCTCTGTATTTTGTCTCTGCTCCTCCCTTTCCTCTGGTTTAGTTCTTGCTGTATAGATAGCCCCACCCCTCTTCCCAGTAAGGCATTTCAACTTAAAGCCTCATGTCATGAAGCAGATCACATTATGATCTTTTGACCTATCAGATGTTCATTGTTGTAAGATTCTCTCAGTTTATGCAATAAACTTCACAAGATCTACAAGGTGTCATCTGGATCTAGTCACTGCCTTTGTCATTCAACTAAGATTGGAGTTATTGCCATCTCATCACAACTGTAATGCAGGCCATAGACGAGTTGAAAACCGGATGCTTTTTTATAAAAAAGAAAAATCGGTTGTTCAATCGGCTAACGTTACACCACCAACGGTAAAAATAATTGGCTGATTTTCGTCCCGTAATTACTTCTGTCCTTGCAGGGAGCTCCACTATTATATTTTACATGAAAGTCTTGCGGTTGCAACAATGTATCCATTTTGGATACAGATGTTTTTATTCAGATACAAATAGATACATTGTTGCAACTGCAAGACTTTTTCATATAAAATATAATAGCGGACTGGAATTTTCCTTCTCCTTCTTCTCCTCCTATCATTGCCGGGAAAATCGGCCCCAAATTTCCAACTTGACCGATAAAAAAAAAAAATGTGCGAAAACACTGAAAAACGGCCGACCAATTAACCCACTAATGTTGCAAAAATCAGCCAATTTTTTTTTTCGTCCGAAAAATCAGCCGATTTTTCGACCTGTCTATGGCCTGCATAAGTTACAGAGATCACACTTTCAATGCTTAGATTGGAGAGACAGAACAGGAGCCATGGAATACTTTACCTTTTGAACGTGTACCAATGACTGAACTGTGTTCTCCTAACTGATTCTCAACTTTTTTTTGTTTTGTTTATGGTGCTTCGACTGAACGTATCATTTGTTTGGATCATAAACTACCTGATCTGGGTTCCTAAGTGTGTTCTTTGCTAATATTTTAATAACACATTGAGTAGTGGTCTAGCGGCATTTTGCCAAGTCTCTCCACCCAAGCTTGAGGGCTCCAAGCAAAGCTGGCCATACACTGATTGAAATTTGGCTGCTTCAGCAAAGACCAGTCGAATTTCAATCCGTGTGTGATCTCCATGTATAATACATAAGGGGGGATATGATCTCCATGTATAATACATAAGGGGGGATATGATCTCCATGTATAATACATAAGGGGGGATATGATCTCCATGTATAATACATAAGGGGGGATATGATCTCCATGTATTATACATAAGGGGGATATGATCTCCATGCATAATACATAAGGGGGGATATGATCTCCATGTATAATACATAAGGGGGGGGTATGATCTCCATGTATAATACATAAGGGGGGGGGGTATGATCTCCATGTATAATACATAAGGGGGGATATGATCTCCATGTATAATACATAAGGGGGGATATGATCTCCATGTATAATACATAAGGGGGGATATGATCTCCATGTATAATACATAAGGGGGGATATGATCTCCATGTATTATACATAAGGGGGGGTATGATCTCCATGCATAATACATAAGGGGGGATATGATCTCCATGTATAATACATAAGGGGGGATATGATCACCATGTATAATACATAAGGGGGGATATGATCTCCATATATAATACATAAGGGGGGGATATGATCTCCATGCATAATACATAAGGGGGATATGATCTCCATGTATTATACATAAGGGGGGGTATGATCTCCATGCATAATACATAAGGGGGGATATGATCACCATGTATAATACATAAGGGGGATATGATCTCCATGTATTATACATAAGGGGGGGATATGATCTCCATGTATAATACATAAGGGGGATATGATCTCCATGTATAATACATAAGGGGGGGATATGATCTCCATGTATAATACATAAGGGGGATATGATCTCCATGTATAATACATAAGGGGGGATGTGATCTCCATGTATAATACATAAGGGGGGATATGATCTCCATGTATAATAAGGGGGGATATGATCTCCATGTATAATAAGGGGGGATATGATCTCCATGTATAATACATAAGGGGGGATACGATCTCCATGTATAATACATAAGGGGGGGATATGATCTCCATGTATAATACATAAGGGGGGATATGATCTCCATATATAATACATAAGGGGGGATATGATCTCCATGTATAATACATAAGGGGGGGATATGATCTCCATGTATAATACATAAGGGGGGGATATGATCTCCATGTATAATACATAAGGGGGGATATGATCTCCATATATAATACATAAGGGGGGATATGATCTCCATGTATAATACATAAGGGGGGGATTTGATCTCCATGTATAATACATAAGGGGTGGTATGATCTCCATGCATAATACATAAGGGGGGATATGATCTCCATGTATAATACATAAGGGGGGATATGATCTCCATGCATAATACATAAGGGGGATATGATCTCCATGTATTATACATAAGGGGGGGTATGATCTCCATGCATAATACATAAGGGGAGGTATGATCACCATGTATAATACATAAGGGGGATATGATCTCCATGTATAATACATAAGGGGGGGATATGATCTCCATGTATAATAAGGGGGGATATGATCTCCATGTATAATACATAAGGGGGGATACGATCTCCATGTATAATACATAAGGGGGGGATATGATCTCCATGTATAATACATAAGGGGGGATATGATCTCCATATATAATACATAAGGGGGGATATGATCTCCATGTATAATACATAAGGGGGGGATATGATCTCCATGTATAATACATAAGGGGGGGATATGATCTCCATGTATAATACATAAGGGGGGATATGATCTCCATATATAATACATAAGGGGGGATATGATCTCCATGTATAATACATAAGGGGTGGTATGATCTCCATGCATAATACATAAGGGGGGATATGATCTCCATGTATAATACATAAGGGGGGATATGATCTCCATGTGTAATACATAAGGGGGGATATGATCTCCATGTGTAATACATAAGGGGGGATATGATCTCCATGTATAATACATAAGGGGGGGATATGATCTCCATGCATAATACATAAGGGGGGATATGATCTCCATGCATAATACATAAGGGGGGATACGATCTCCATGTATAATACATAAGGGGGGATACGATCTCCATGTATAATACATAAGGGGGGATACGATCTCCATGTATAATACATAAGGGGGGATACGATCTCCATGTATAATACATAAGGGGGGATACGATCTCCATGTATAATACATAAGGGGGGATACGATCTCCATGTATAATACATAAGGGGGGGATACGATCTCCATGTATAATACATAAGGGGGGATACGATCGCCATGTATAATACATAAGGGGGGATATGATCTCCATGTATAATACATAAGGGGGGGATATGATCTCCATGTATAATACATAAGGGGGGGATATGATCTCCATGTATAATACATAAGGGGGGATATGATCTCCATGTATAATACATAAGGGGGGATATGATCTCCATGTATAATACATAAGGGGGATATGATCTCCATGTACAATACATAAGGGGGGGGGGGGATATGATCTCCATGTATAAATACATCAGTGGTTCATATAGTGAACTCGGTGTAGTTATTCCCCCTGAGGTCATCACAGAGGACAAGGGGGCGCTCTTTACATCTGGAGGAAAAGAAATGTAATCTCCAAACACGGAAAGGTTTCTTCACAGTAAGAGCTGTGAGAATGTGGAATAGACTCCCCCCAAGAGTTGGTTGTGGCCAGCTCAGTGGATTGCTGTAGGAAAGTCCTGGATTGTATCTTGGATACACAGAATATAACTGGATGTAACATTTATAGGGAAAGTTGATCCAGGGGACATCCAATTGCCTCTCGAGGGGTCAGGAAGGATTTTTTTACTCTGCAGGAGCAAATTGCTTAAATTGACAGCGCTATATAGGTACCTGAAAAAAAAAAAATAAATAAAATTGGATCGTTCTTTGCTGAGGTTTTTTGACTTCCTCTTGATCAACTGTGGGTATAGGATATCATTTTTTTTTTTTTTTCAGCTGATCTGGATAGACTTTTGTCTTTTTTCAGCCAGACTAACTATGTAACATCAGCGGAGCACTACAGGGAAGAACTACAGTAAACTTTGAGATTACACAACTGTGAGGAACTAAAGTTCTGAACAGACCTTGGCAGTACCTGACAGGGTGGGCACTATAAATGTCAGCAGTACTTTCAGTAGTCAGTGAGCTGAAGAGTCGGGGATAATAGACGTTCCAGCTTCTGCACATGCTGTTCCTGGAAATGCACAGACAGAGCATGGCCAAAGCCAATCAAAAAAAAGGGTCCAGAGCAGGGGCGGACTGACCATTCAAACACTTGGGCAGTGCCCGAGGGCCCCGGGGTCAGTAGGGGGCCCCATGAAATGCCCCTGGTACCTTTTTATAGCCTTTTTTGGGTGTTTTTTGAGTGTGGGCAAGGACATGGGGGCCCCATGATCCTTTATTGCCCGGGGGCCCCATGAGTTGTCAGTCCGCCCTTGGTTCGGAGAGGTGAGGACACAAGGGGTAGGGAGAGGACATGCATGGGCTGTTGCGTAATGGGTACATGATTCCTTGAGTTTGTGGCTTTTGTCCTCAGGAGGCTGCATTGGTGGGAACATGGGGCTGTGCACTCAGGCATTGGCATCTATCTGCATGGGCAGCACAGTGGCTAAATGGTTAGACTTCCGCCTTGCAGTACTCGGGTCTTTGGTTCGAATCCCAATCACGGCACCATCTGCCTGGAGTTTGCATGTTCTCCCTGTGTCTGCGTGAGTTTTCTCCGGGTACTCTGGTTTCCTCCCACGCTCCAAAGACATGCTGGGAGGTGAATTGTCTCCTGTCTAAATTGGCCCTAGTATGTGTATGTATGTATGTGAGTTAGGGACCTTCGATTTTACGCTCCTCAGGGGCGGGGACTGATGTGAGTGTACAATATATATGTAAAGCTCTGTGTAAATTGACGGCGCTATATAAGTACCTGAAATAAATAAATAAATAAGATCTATCTTGGTTCTTGAGCTTCGGGAACCTCACTGTCCTAACTCAACAGAGGTACTGTGACCTGCTGACTGGATCCTAAATAAGGGTCTGATATACTAATGGAGGACCCCCACACAAAAGAGATTGTGAGATTCCCCCATAATTCACACCACTCCATTCAGATCTTGTTTGAGATGTCAAAAAAATAACAGTAGGAATTGCCTTCCAAATTCTGTTTTTATGAATTGTATGGTGGAATCCTAGGCAAAAATTAATTAAATAAAAAAAAAGCATGAGGCCCCCTCAAGATCCCATACCAGACCCTCATCCACGCATGCAGCCTAGCAGGGTAGGAAAGGGGGGATGAACGTATGCCCTCCTCCTGAACAATACCAAGTCACAACCCTCAACATGGGGGGCACATTTCCAGGGAACTGATTCCCCTGGCAAAGAACTCCCATGTTGATGGCGACGTGGGCCTCTTCTCCACAACCCTGGTAGTACCTAGAATGCTTCATGAAAAATGCAAAGTGTAAATAAAAAGACAGATACAGTCTATAACCACTTCCCGTCCAGTAGTTGTATATAAACGGCCAGATGGTGGCAGTGCAGGGGCGGGTGGACGTTTATAAACGGCCTCCCCGCCCCCTGCTTGTGCGCACTCCCTGGGAGCACCCAGCACCGCGATCCGATGCCCGCTGTGTCCTCCGGACCTGTACGAGGTCCCGATCATGTGATCACTGATTAGCCAATCAGTGATCACATGCAGGGTAGTAATCAAGATGTCACTTGTGACATCATTGCTTACTACGTGTGAAATCTGTGAATGATCACCAAGATCATATGGTACAGGGCTATTCACAACAGCCTTGTACATGTGACAAGCTGTGACCAATCACAGCTCACTCACTAGTTCTCAATGGCTGCAAGAATGCAGCCAGAGAGAAGGAGAAATGATTGCTTTTACAGCCTTTATGGGTGGAAAAGCAATCAATGTAAAAAAAAAAATCTTCATCACCCCCCACAAGTAGTAGTGTTACCATGGTGACACTGTACTGCTAGGATGACAATTTAAAAATTATAATTTTGGTTATAAACTAATTTGGGTTATTTTTTTTTTTACTAAAAATATAACGGAATAAATGTTGGCCAAAATTTATGATGAAATACTATTTATTTGCAAAATTTTATAAGAAAACACTTTTTTAAAATTTTTGGACTTTTTAATTTACATAGCAAAAAAAAAATACAAATCGCAGCGGTGAATAAATACCACTAAAATAAAGCTTTGTCTGTCTTAAAAAATGCTAAAAAAACTCATTTGGGTACAGTGTTGCATGACCGCGCAATTGTCATTCAAAGTGTGATAGCGCTGAAAGCTGGAAAATTGGCCTGGACAGGAAGGGGGGGGGGGGGGGGGAAGTGTCCAGACAGGAAGGGGGGGAAAGTGTCCGGACTGGAAGGGGGTGAAAGTGTCCAGACAGGAAGGGGGGGGGAAGTGTCCGGACAGCAAGGGCGGGGAAGTGTCCGGACTGGAAGGGGGGGGGAAAGTGTCCGGACAGCAAGGGGGGAAAGTGTCCGGACAGGAAGGGGGTGAAAGTGTCCGGACTGGAAGGGGGGGGAAGTGTCCAGACTGGAAGGGGGGGGAAGTGTCCAGACTGGAAGGGGGGGGAAAGTGTCCGGACTGCAAGGGGGGGGAAAGTGTCCGGACTGGAAGGGGGGGAAAAAAGTGTCTGGACTGGAAGGGGGGGAAAGTGTCTGGACTGGAAGGGGGGAAAAGTGTCTCTGGAAAAGTGTGGAAGGGGGTGAAAGTGTCCGGACTGCAAGGGGGGAGAGTGTCCGGACTGGAAGGGGGGGGAAAGTGTCCAGACTGGAAGGGGGGGGAAAGTGTCCAGACTGGAAGGGGGGGGAAAGTGTCCGGACTGCAAGGGGGGAGAGTGTCCGGACTGGAAGGAAGGGGGGGAAAGTGTCCAGACTGGAAGGGGGGGGGAAAGTGTCCAGACTGGAAGGGGGGGGAAAAGTGTCCAGACTGGAAGGGGGGGGGAAGTGTCTGGACTGGAAGGGGGGGGGGAAGTGTCCAGACTGGAAGGGGGGGGAAAGTGTCCGGACTGCAAGGGGGGAAAGTGTCCGGACTGGAAGGGGGGGGAAAGTGTCCGGACTGCAAGGGGGGAGAGTGTCCGGACTGGAAGGGGGGGAAAGTGTCCAGACTGGAAGGGGGGGGAAAGTGTCCAGACTGGAAGGGGGGGGAAAGTGTCCAGACTGGAAGGGGGGGGGAAGTGTCTGGACTGGAAGGGGGGGAAAGTGTCCGGACTGGAAAAAGGGGGGAAAGTGTCCGGACTGGAAGGGGGGTGAAAGTGTCCGGACTGGAAGGGGGGGGAAAGTGTCCAGACTGGAAGGGGGGGGAAAGTGTCCAGACTGGAAGGGGGGGGGAAAGTGTCCCAGACTGGAAGGGGGGGGAAGTGTTCGGACTGGAAGGGGGGGGAAGTGTCCGGACTGGAAGGGGGATTAAAGTGTCTGGACTGGAAGGGGGGGAAAGTGTCTGGACTGGAAGGGGGGGAAAGTGTCTGGACTGGAAGGGGGGGGGAAGTGTCTGGACTGGAAGGGGGGGGAAGTGTCTGGACTGGAAGGGGGGGGAAGTGTCTGGACTGGAAGGGGGGGAAAAGTGTCTGGACTGGAAGGGGGGGAAAGTGTCTGGACTGGAAGGGGGGGAAAGTGTCTGGACTGGAAGGGGGGGAAAGTGTCTGGACTGGAAGGGGGGGAAAGTGTCTGGACTGGAAGGGGGGGGGGAAAGTGTCTAGACTGGAAGGGGGGGAAAGTGTCTGGACTGGAAGGGGGGGAAAGTGTCCAGACTGGAAGGGGGGGGAAGTGTCCGGACTGGAAGGGGGATTAAAGTGTCCGGACTGGAAGGGGGATTAAAGTGTCCGGACTGGAAGGGGGGGAAAAGTGTCCGGACTGGAAGGGGGGGGGAAAAGAAAGTGTCCAGACTGGAAGGGGGGGGAGTGTTCGGACTGGAAGGGGGGGGAGTGTTCGGACTGGAAGGGGGATTAAAGTGTCTGGACTGGAAGGGGGGGGGAAGTGTCTGGACTGGAAGGGGGGGGAAGTGTCTGGACTGGAAGGGGGGGAAAGTGTCTGGACTGGAAGGGGGGGGAAAGTGTCTGGACTGGAAGGGGGGGAAAGTGTCTGGACTGGAAGGGGGGGAAAGTGTCTGGACTGGAAGGGGGGGGAAAGTGTCTGGACTGGAAGGGGGGGAAAGTGTCTGGACTGGAAGGGGGGGAAAGTGTCTGGACTGGAAGGGGGGGAAAAGTGTCCGGACTGGAAGGGGGGGAAAATGTCTGGACTGGAAGGGGGGGGGAAGTGTCCGGACTGGAAGGGGGGGGAAGTGTCCGGACTGGAAGGGGGGGGGGGGAAGTGTCCGGACTGGAAGGGGGGGGAAGTGTCCGGACTGGAAGGGGGGGGGAAAGTGTCCGGACTGGAAGGGGGGGAAAGTGTCCGGACTGGAAGGGGGGGAAAGTGTCCGGACTGGAAGGGGGGGGAAAGAAAGTGTCCAGACTGGAAGGGGGGGGAGTGTTCGGACTGGAAGGGGGGGAAAGTGTCTGGACTGGAAGGGGGGGAAAGTGTCTGGACTGGAAGGGGGGGAAAGTGTCTGGACTGGAAGGGGGGGAAAGGGTCTGGAATGGAAGGGGGGGAAAGTGTCTGGACTGGAAGGGGGGGAAAGTGTCCGGACTGGAAGGGGGGGGGGGAGTGTCCGGACTGGAAGGGGGGGGAAGTGTCTGGACTGGAAGGGGGGGAAAGTGTCTGGACTGGAAGGGGGGGAAAGTGTCTGGACTGGAAGGGGGGGAAAGTGTCTGGACTGGAAGGGGGGGAAAGTGTCCGGACTGGAAGGGGGGGGGGAAAGTGTCCGGACTGGAAGGGGGGGGGGGAGTGTCCGGACTGGAAGGGGGGGAAGTGTCCAGACTGGAAGGGGGATTAAAGTGTCCGGACTAGACGTGGTTAACAAGTCCTTTATTTAAAAAAATAAAATCCCATGATGCCCGATACTCACCAAAAGCAATAACCTGATTATGGCCACTTACTGAACAACATTTACCTTGAGTGTTCATCGGCAATGACAGGGGTGGGGATGGTGGTGACATCATTGGCCAGATATAATCATAGGGCCGTAGTTAGACAAAGATGTCACCTTCCCTATTCGTACCCCTTTGCCTATGTGGTTGGGGACTACTCCTGGCCATGTAAGTGACATCAATGGTGGACTGACATCAGGAACATTCCATTTTCAAGAACGCTGAAGACAGGGGTGCCGGACTAGTTTTGTGAGGGGAAAGTTGCCATTGTGAGAAGCTCACAGTGTGCAGTGACATCAGAGTAAGCCATTTCAGTCCTGGAGAGGAGCCAATACACCTGTGCAAGACTGGAGGGGAGGAGCCGCTACACCTGTGCAAGACTGAAGGGGAGGAGCCGCTACACCTGTGCAAGACTGAAGGGGAGGAGCGCTACACCTGTGCAAGACTGAAGGGGAGGGGTCAATACACCTGTGCAAGACTGAAGGGGAGGAGCCGCTACACCTGTGCAAGACTGAAGGGGAGGAGCTGATTGTACAGTGTAATACTGAAAGGGAGGAGGAGCTGGTACACCTATGCAAGACTGAAGGGGAGGAGCCGCTACATCTGTGCAAGACTGAAGAGGAGGAGCCGCTACACCTGTGCAAGACTGGAGGGGAGGAGCCGCTACACACTGTGCAAGACTGAAGGGGAGGAGCCAGTACACCTGTGCAAGACTGGAGGGGAGGAGCCGGTACACCTGTGCAAGAATTGAGGGGAGGAGCCGCTACACCTGTGCAAGACTGAAGGGGAGGAGCAAGTACACCTGTGCAAAGCTGAAGGGGAGGAGCCGGTACACCTGTGCAAGACTGAAGGAGAAGCGGAGGTTAGATTTAAATAAGTGGCATTGTGGGAGGGGGGGGGGTGGGGTAGCCGGGGTAGTGCTTTTTTAGTGATACAATCAGCTTGTCATCCATTCCTCCAGACTCCTTTAACTGAAACATTACATTCAGAATACATGTGTTGTAGAAGAACCCAGACCACGGTATTGTGCGCTGAAAATATCATCCAACTTTATTAAAAGTATACATGTGACACTTTAACAACAGAAGGAAAGAGATAGATTGTTTACATTTCAAGGATATATTTTTACTATGTTAAGAAACAGATTACCATACGACACACCCCTCAATAATACCAGCCCCGCCCACTTATGTCATTTCATTGGGTTCAGCATTATCAGCCCCTGGCTGCTGTGACCAGGGAGGGAGCTGACCCAGCATGATCTGTACTTGACCATATTTTTGGGGGGGCAAAAGGTGACAGTTGGAGTCTAAGAAACCTCCTATGTCTCCTTAAAGAGGACCTGTGGTCAGCTATATTCTATCATACGGGGCACTACTCTATGGGGTAGCAATAAAGTTAGGAAAAGAAAAAATAATTAAACTAACCCACATGGAAGAAAAATATATTTTTAAAAAATATTCTTCCCAAATATATTCAATATTCTTCAAAATATATTTCAAAAAATGTGTATATATATATCCTGTGATGTCGGGACGTACGGGTACCGTAACCGGCGGCAAATTTGAAATTTTTTTAAAAATATTACATTTTTTTTTAAAAACGTTATTACATAGTAAGACATTGCTGTTTTGAAACCATTTCACATACATTTTGTCCCGAGTTCTTTGTCCTGCGCCCTGCCTGCATTTTTACTGTTCTTTAAAAACTGAGAAATGTCCATGGCGTCCAAAAAGCGTTTTTAGGTCAGACGCGGTTTTAGAGCGGCTAGAGAACAGCGATAGTAAATCAGAACCACTTGCAGAATTGAGTGATAATGATTGGTGGGGGAAATTCCTCATCAGACACTGAAAACGATTCTGCGACTTTGTCAGCGATGTGCGAACTTGGCGCTATATTTCACATTTCAGTGTTTTTGGTTTGATTATATTATTGAATTACATTTATTATTATTATATTATTATTTTTTATGATTATTTATTAAATTATAATTTATGATTTCGTGTTTCAAATTTTATCATACCCGGGACGTGTACTAGACTCTTGTTCGGACAGATTTCAGTGAGTTATTCCTAAGAATTACAGGCCTACAATAAAAAAACTACATATTTCCATGCAAAAAAATGGTACCGCTTTCAGCACCAAAAATCTGAAATAATCAGACCGCTAGGGAGGTTAAAAAATATAGCGGGGGATTTCTCAGAACCGGAGCAGACATGCAAGGCAACCAATCAAATTCCGTATATTTCATTTTCAAAGCACGACTGAACAAGACGAAGTCAGGAGCTGATGGAGAGCCATTCAGAGCTGCTCCAGATTCTGTTCTGCTCAAGTTCTGATGAATTCCCTCCATGTTTGTGGTCTGAGAGCAGTGGAAATGTGGAATAGACTCCATGAAGAGCTGCTTGTGGCCACCTCAGAGGATTGTTTGTTCTAGGAAACGCCTGGATAAGATAACTGGATATAACATTTATAGGTAGAGCAGATCCAGGGAATATCCCATTGCCTCTCGGGGGTCAGGAAGGATAAAGCTTTATGTTTCTCATTTTTTTTGCCTTCTGTTGGATGAACTGGATGGACTTTTTTCTTCTGTCTTATTTCAGCCAGATTAACTATGTATACAATGTATTCTAAAATGTATCCTGTTATTATCACAATGTTTATTACATAATTTATCCTGTATGTATACAATGTATTATATCATGTATCCTTTATGTGTACAATGTATGATAGAATGGCTCCTGTATGTATACAATTTATTACCCTGTATGAAAACTGAGATATCAGTTCCCCCAGTACAAATCATTAGTAAGACCTCATCTAGAATATGCAGTTCAGTTTTGGCCTCCAATTCACAAAAAGAACATTGGGGAACTGGAGGAAGTACAGAGAAGGGCAACCAAACTGATACGAGGCATGGAGGAGATCAGCTATGAGGAAAGATTAGAGGAACTGAATGTATTCTCTACTGAGAAGAGGGGGGATATGATCTCCATGTATAATACATAAGGGGGGGATATGATCTCCATGTATAATACATAAGGGGGGATATGATCTCCATGTATAATACATAAGGGGGATATGATCTCCATGTATAATACATAAAGGGGGATATGATCTCCATGTATAATACATAAGGGGGGGGGATATGATCTCCATGTATAATACATAAGGGGGATATGATCTCCATGTATAATACATAAGGGGGGGATATGATCTCCATGTATAATACATAAGGGGGATATGATCTCCATGTATAATACATAAGGGGGGATATGATCTCCATGTATAATACATAAGGGGGGGGATATGATCACCATGTATAATACATAAGGGGGGGATATGATCTCCATGTATAATACATAAGGGGGGATATGATCTCCATGTATAATACATAAGGGGGGATATGATCTCCATGTATAATACATAAGGGGGGGATATGATCTCCATGTATAATACATAAGGGGGGATATGATCTCCATGTATAATACATAAGGGGGGGATATGATCTCCATGTATAATACATAAGGGGGGATGTGATCTCCATGTATAATACATAAGGGGGGATGTGATCTCCATGTATAATACATAAGGGGGGGATATGATCTCTATGTATAATACATAAGGGGGGATATGATCTCCATGTATAATACATAAGGGGGATATGATCTCCATGTATAATACATAAGGGGGGATATGATCTCCATGTATAATACATAAGGGGGGATATGATCTCCATGTATAATACATAAGGGGGGATATGATCTCCATGTATAATACATAAGGGGGGGTATGATCTCCATGTATAATACATAAGGGGGGGTATGATCTCCATGTATAATACATAAGGGGGGGGATATGATCTCCATGTATAATACATAAGGGGGGATATGATCTCCATGTATAATACATAAGGGGGGGATATGATCTCCATGTATAATACATAAGGGGGGGATATGATCTCCATGTATAATACATAAGGGGGGGTATGATCTCCATGTATAATACATAAGGGGGGATATGATCACCATGTATAATACATAAGGGGGGGATATGATCACCATGTATAATACATAAGGGGGGGGGATATGATCTCCATGTATAATACATAAGGGGGGATATGATCTCCATGTATAATACATAAGGGGGGATATGATCACCATGTATAATACATAAGGGGGGATATGATCTCCATGTATAATACATAAGGGGGGATATGATCTCCATGTATAATACATAAGGAGGGATATGATCTCCATGTATAATACATAAGGGGGGATATGATCTCCATGTATAATACATAAGGGGGGATATGATCACCATGTATAATACATAAGGGGGGATATGATCTCCATGTATAATACATAAGGGGGGATATGATCTCCATGTATAATACATAAGGGGGATATGATCTCCATGTATAATACATAAGGGGGGATATGATCTCCATGTATAATACATAAGGGGGGATATGATCTGCATGTATAATACATAAGGGGGGATATGATCTGCATGTATAATACATAGGTTGGTTCATATAGTGAACTCAGTGTAGAGTTATCCCCCCTGAGGTCATCACAGAAGACAAGGGGGCGCTCTTTACGTCTGGAGGTAAATAAATATAATCTCCAAACACAGAAAGGTTTCTTCACAGTAAGAGCTGTGAGAATGTGGAATAGACGCCCTCAAGAGTTGGTTGTGGCCAGCTCAGTGGATTGCTGTAGGAAAGTCCTGTATTCTTTCTTGGATACACAGAATATAACTGGATACAACATTTATGGGTAAAGTTGATCCCGGGAATATCCGATTGCCTCTCGTTGTTGGAACCAAGTTCCAACTAAACCCATTCAAGATAATAGATCCAACTTCCTCCCACCCAGGTGACTGTTAGGAACTCCATTACCTTGTGTAGAAATCCCCTTCTGAGATCCTCATGTTCTAAAATATATGGACAACATTCTGACACCAGTTTGTAGACTCCACCTTGAGCTTCCGAGATAGTCATGCAGTTCTGTGACACCCCCTTAGGTGATGGAGCCACTTCTGCTATACTATCAATGGTGTCATTGGTTATATGATTCATGACTCCGGTACGCAGGTTCATCTTATTCATCATGTAGATTCCCCATCCTGTTTATGAAACGTTTGCTGTATAAAACACTCTAGAGATGCTGGTTGCAGCCAGCAATAGATCACTATAACAGATGCCTGTGTGGGTCTGGATCTGGTCCCCACTGACCATTTCTAGACCCACCAAGAGATAATAAAGTATAGGAAACAAGGGGAATAAAGTTCTCCTAAAGTAAAATGTGAGCGTTACCATTCCACTACATTACATAAACGTTCCACTAATATGAAATCATTTTTAATCAGCAGACTTTGTTGATTATACTTTGAAATTAAAAATTTTGGGGAAGCACAAATTACCTAAACACTGCATTGGGAATACAAAATTTATACAAATTTCATACTGAATAAAAGCCCTATCTGTCCCCCAAAACATGATGTATAATACATCTGGGTAGACTACAAATGATAAAGTTATAATACGTAGAACTGGGACATTGCCAAACATAGAAAGAAGAAAAACCTCTCTGGGAATCAAGGAGTTTAGAGAGAGAAATGATCTGGGACTAAAGTGGCAATGACAGCTTTCAGCATTTGTGTAATTATAATTACTGATATTGCATCAATAATTTCATAATTACACTTTAGGGCCAACAGCCTAACATTTCTAGGATCCAATATTGTCTTTCACAAGCAAACTTCCAAAAACGAGATCTGTCCACTAAGAGTCAATAAAGAGAACCCCAATTGTAGGAATATGACCGCACACTCAGCACTTTGTAAGATCAGATCTCTTGTAGTTGCCTTGTGTGATATGTCTATGGAGAGGAGTAATAGCTGGACAGAGAAATAAGATAACAAGGACATCCAATCTTCACCTGATAGGATCCCTTAGACTTGCCGCAAAACTGGATGGAACACACATGGGACCAGCTGGGTTTAAGTGGTACTGTCAAGCTCATCCCAAAAAACTGCAGCAACTCACTGTTGGAAGGCTTATGCCAGCTTAGGAAGTTGCTTTCTCACTGAACAAAGACCTCTTGTCTGGTGCCCCAGCCGCAGACCTGACTGTAAAGATGTCATCTATGTGAGGATGTGGAATGTTGAAATAAGGCTTGAATCATTGGAGAAGAAGTGGAATGTATAGTAGGAGATGTAAACAAGGTGGGCTTAGCTGGAACCCTCAGGTATCACTGAAGATGTATCAGTGGAAGAATGTTAGAAAGGACTTTCCTTCTAAGACTTCAAAGACTTGCCACTTGACCACTACCTAGTCTCCGGCACTGAGGCAGTGTTGTTATTGTATTAGCTCAGGATCTGGCAATGAAAAAGCACTTGGGAACACAGCTCAGTTAGAAAAGAATGAAAATGCTTTATATGTTCCATCAAACCCTCTTAAACAGGAGATGAGTAGGATGAGAATCATGAGGAAACAGTTCAGTCATTGGTGCTTCTCTGAAAAAATGATCAAAGGTAAAAGGTTCAAAGACTTTATAGGTGAGTGCAGATGGAGATAAGCACTAATCTCAAGAAATCCATCCATTGTTTACTTATACTTTTTAGTTTGCTTTTTAAAGTAGCATTATACATTTCACTAGTTTGTGGGATGACATGAGGTGTGAAAGTAAGGAGGTACATGCAACTCTTTGATTGTGGATTAGCTGTTATCCATTTAACACCTCCCTTCTCTCAGAGTTTTCTCACTGCCGCTGAAGCTTGTGAATTCTCTGGTGTCTGATTAATCTGTAATTAATAGTAAAAGCTTTGTCACATTCTGAACACTGATATGGCTTCTCTCCAGTGTGGACCACCTGGTGTCTGATAAGACCTTCCCTCTGTCTAAAAGCTTTATCACATTCAGAACACTGATATGGCTTCTCTCCAGTATGAATACTCTGGTGTCTGATATAGGTTTCCTTATGTTTAAAATATTTATGACATTCAGAACACTGATATGGCTTCTCTCCAGTGTGAATCCTCTGGTGTGAGATAAGAATAGCCTTCGCTTCAAAAGCTTTATCACATTCAGAACACTGATACGGCTTCTCTCCAGTGTGACTCATCTGGTGTCTTTTAAGAACTACTTTTGTTGTAAAAGCTTTATCACATTCAGAACATGCATATGGCTTCTCTCCAGTGTGAATCCTCTGATGTCTGATAAGATCTTTTTTTACTATAAAAGCTTTGTCACATTCTGAACACTGATATGGCTTCTCTCCCTTGTGATCCTTCTGGTGTATAACAAGGCTTTCCTTATGCTTAAAAGCTTTATCACATTCTGAGCATTGAAATGGCTTCTCTCCAGAATGAACTCTCTGGTGTCTGATAAGGCTTTCCTTACGTGTAAAATCTTTGCCACACTCAGAACACTGATATGGCTTCTCTCCAGTGTGGACCATCTTGTGTCTGATAAACTCTGGCCGCATTGTAAAAGCTTTGTCACACTCAGAGCATTGATATGGCTTCTCTCCAGCATGAATCCTCTGGTGTCTGATAAACACCTTCTTGCAAGTAAAAGCTTTATCACATTCAGAACACTGATATGGCCTCTCTCCAGTGTGAATCCTCTCATGTATGATAAGCTGTGACTTCACTATAAAACCTTTGTCACATTCTGAACACTGAAATGATTTCTCTCCAGTGTGAATTTTCTGGTGTCTGAAAAGCTTTGACTTATGTATAAAAGCTTTATCACATTCAGAACATTGATATAGCTTCTCTCCAGTGTGACGTATCTGGTGAAGGATAAGCTCTGAGTTCAATGCAAAAGTTATGTTACATTCAGAACACTGATATGGCTTCTCTCCTGTGTGGATCTTCTTGTGTATGTTAAGGCTTTCAATACGTCTAAAAGCTTTGTCACATTCAGAACATTGATATGGATTCTCTCCAGTGTGAATTCTCTGGTGTCTGGTAAGACTTGGCTTCAATGGGAAAGCTTTGCCACATTCAGAACATTGATATGGCTTTTCTCCAGTGTGAACCCTCTGGTGTGACAAAAGCTTTGTTTTGGTTGCAAAAGCTTTGCCACATTCAGAACATTCATACAGCTTCTCTCCAGTGTGACTCCTCTGGTGTGAGAGAAGGCTTTTCTTATGTGTAAAAGCTTTATCACATTCAGAACACTGATATGGCTTCTCTCCAGTGTGATTCCTCTGGTGTGAGATTAGATGAGCCCTCTTTATAAAAGCTTTATCACATTCAGAACACTGATATGGCTTCTCTCCGGTGTGAATCTTCTGGTGTGTGATAAGACCTAACTTTGTTGTAAAAGCTTTGCCACATTCAGAACACTGATATGGCTTCTCTCCAGTGTGACTCTTCTGGTGTGAGAGAAGGCTTTCCTTATGTGCAAAAGCTTTATCGCATTCAGAACACTGATACAGCTTCTCCCCAGTGTGAATCTTTTGGTGTGAGATAAGATTAGCTTTCTGTGCAAAAGATTTATCACATTCAGAACATTGATATGGCTTCTCTCCAGTGTGAATCTTCTGGTGTGAGATAAGACCTGACTTTGTTGTAAAAGCTTTATCGCATTCAGAACACTGATACAGCTTCTCCCCAGTATGAATCTTTTGGTGTGAGATAAGATTAGTTTTCTGTGCAAAAGATTTATCACATTCGGAACACTGATATGGCTTCTCTCCAGTGTGAATCTTCTGGTGTGTGATAAGACTTGACTTCACTGTAAAAGCTTTATCACATTCAGAACACTGATATGGCTTCTCTCCAGTATGAACCCATTGGTGTTCGATTAGCTGTGCCTTCCGTAGAAAATCCTTGTCACATTTGGAGCACTGAAATGGTTTCTCTTCAGTGTGAATCATCTTGTGTATTTTAAGACCTTCCTTATGTTTAAAGGTTTTGTCACATTCAGAACACTGATATGGCTTCTCTCCAGTGTGGCCCCTCTGGTGTCTGATAAGATCTGCCTTCACTATAAAAGCTTTGTCACATTCAGAACACTGATTTGGCTTCTCTTCGGTGTGAATCTTTTTGTGTTTTATAAGATTACCCTTTGTTGTAAAAGGTTTGTCACATTCAGAACACTGAAATGGTTTCTCACCAGTGTCCGTCTCCTGCTGTGTGATGCGTTTTGCCTTCATTGTAAAACCTTTCACTTTCCAAAGAAGAAGTAACTTTTAAAATGACTCCTCTTATGTATACAGGGGATGGACGTTTCACTTCCAGAACACTGAAATTACTTCTCTCCTGTTGTCCTCTGAGAATGGATTTCCCACGTAGCTCAGTTGTACATATAAAGAGCAACTTGACCAAAAACTTGGTTCCTCAATCCACCTGTATAGAAAAAAAAATAAATACAAGTCAGAATTCTATATAAAGGGTTAAATAAAGTTACTTCCTATTTTAACTCTCTTTTTAAAGAGTAACTGCATTTTTGTTGAAAAAATAATCTGAGTGATCAATGTACATTGCTGGGATTTTAATAACTTTGTTGTAGATTCCAACCTGTTTCTGCTGTGAAGATGTCAATGTGTAAAGTGGATGTTAATGGGGGTGACATTTTCATGATTATTTAGTTGATGCCCCTGCAGTGTTCTAATGAGGAAAGTCTGCATCCCTTTAGAAGTGATTAGACCTTGGGAGTATCACATCAAAAATAAAATCTTTGTACAACAGGATGCCTAAAATGTAACTTTTTTAGTGAAGACTTCTGGGAAAATCAATGACCCAATCACAGCAGCAGGAAATGACATTTCTGAGGGGTGTTCAGTACACAAGCTGTTTATAGAACGCCTCCAGGTTGCCATATTGCATTGAATTTTACAGAAAATAACAGCGCTGCAGATTGAACAGGAAAAAAAAATCATTTTTAAAAACATTCAATTACAATATGGATTGTGGATCATATGTATATGTCATATTTTTTGTCACTTTCCCCACAAAAGTGGAGTTATCCTTTAAATATATCTAATATATAGAAAGTATATCTACAACATTGTACATATCTAAATGTTTGTATTTTATGGAGGACACTAGATTATTCCCATTGGCTGGTAAAATTGACAATTTCTTACAGTTTTCTGCAGCAGAATCTCATTCTTTGTTCTCATTCAGAGCATTGTGCTGCATTGTGATGGGTGAAGATACTTGGGTTCAGATTTGCAGGTACATTCGGCAAGTGCATCTAAAAACCCGAACAACGCAGACTAAAATACATATCCAATGGTAGCCAATAGGAGGTGAATCTTGAAAATCAACGCTCTTCATTTTCCAGCCTAATAGGCCAGGGATTGTGAAAGAAAGGACACAAGGGCAGTGCCAGGTGGGACATGGACCAATGCAAAAAAGGTAAAGTATGACTTATTTTTAAATAACAAAACAGGGGGGGAGGGGAGCAGAACATCTCAAACTCCTTGAGTGAAAGTACATAATAATTAATTAGTAGCAAGAGAATGTTGAACGAGGACAGACAGGGCAGACATGTGAGCCTTGATAGTTCTAAGGGCTAAATATGTTTCTACCCCAAAACTAATGGAAATACATAATACGGCCCACAAAAAAAGCATTTGACAAAACCCCCAAAGAATCACTACAGCAAAAATAAATTTCTGCATACGATGATAATTCAATAAACTATAGGTTCAGAGGAAGTCTGTGCAGACCCAGTTGGTCACTCTAGTGGAGCATCTGAAGATTGTTGCTGCCCTAGCAGCTCAGCGATGGGGAGGGTCAGCCATTTCCTGCAAAAACTTACTCCCTGTGATGATTCCTGACAACACTTGAATGCATGGCCGAGGGAGAGGGGTGGCCTCAGAACCAGTGGGCCGGCCTCATCTCTCCTTTCCTGTCAGGGGAGCTGCAGAAAGCCTACTGTGACCTCCTACCAGCTGATGCCAATAATCTAAATGGGGAGATCTTGGCCCACCTTAGAGTGACTGTTGCTGTCCATGGACACTGAATACATTGTTGGAAGGATTGGGCCAACCAGTCAACATATTCCCAAATGCAACTGCAACCTGCCATGAAGTTGATGTAACCGGAGAAGTTGACAAAACCTCAGACTGTGAAATGGGTCAATGTGGACCAGTACCTGAGGAGCAAATTAGTGGGCTTCAACATTGGGCCAACTATGAGGAACCCTAAGTGGTGGACCTACTGGTGGAACGGTACACCATGGTGGAGGAACTACTTGGACCTGCCAAGTCCCGAGGAGCTTTGGCAGTACAGAGAACAAAGTCATCACCAAAACTGGGAACCAGCACTCAGGAGTCAGGGAGCTACCAAACCAGTGTCTCAGAGTTTTCTGCTCCAGCACAAAAGAATGAGAACATGCTGTACTGATGGTATCACACCTAGGGCCATGTCCATGCCACAGGAGGAGCCCATGAAGTGCAGAGTGTTACTGAGGGTTTCCTGCTATGCTCAAAGGGTCTGTACTGCCCACCTGGATCTGATTAAGGGGCAAATATAATCTGACATCTGGGTGAATCAGCTCCATGAACAGGTATTACTGGACTCCAATATTAAGGTAACCCTTGTCCATACCAGAGTAATTGGGAGAGTGGGCCCCTAATTAAGACCCCACGGGTAGTATGCATATATAGGAAAACTAAAGAATATCCATTGATACAACTGACATCACTGCTACGTGTGGCATGGATACCCAACGGGTTGGGGTCGCACACAATCTGATATATGACATCATAGTGGTACTGTCCTTTCTTTGTGGAACTGTGGGATTATGTGAGCAGAGGTATGCCTGAACATGGTCACAGGTGTATTCCCTTTGAAGGGCTGGACATTGTGATGGGGGCGGTGTATCTCCTATGCACGTTATGGTTGGGAAGGATGTAGAGGGAACTTCCCCATTGTAGGCTATGTCTGAAGAAGATGGGGGAGGAGGTTACTGTAGTGCTGACCTAGAAATGTCAAGGTGAGCATTTGGTGTCACCCAAATGCAGGACCCAACATTTTAAAAAAATGCCAGCGAACAAGTCACTGTGATTAATAGAGGATCACAAGTGCTTGAAGCCAAAAAGAGGTTTCTATACTTTGTGGTGAATAGTGAGTTGCTGTATCAAGTCACCAAAGTTTGGGAAAGTGTAACAGTTATTGGTCTCCAAGCCTTTGATACATGTTACTCGATATGGCTCACAATGACACATGGGGTGGTCACCTGTGGACTGAGAAATCAAAGGCAAAGATAACAGACCAGTTCTATTGGCCAGAATGACTGCTAATGTGAAGAGGTATTGTGGTTAATGTCCCATTTGTCAACTAACCTCCTGGTACCTTCGGCTATTGTAATTTGAGAGTATTACAATGGATCTGATCAACCCAGGGTAACCAATATATCCTGTGGTGCACAATTATACACCAAGTTATCTAGAAGCGGTCTGTAATGGAACTCGGACCCCGACTGTGCTTGGGTACTTCCGTTAGACTCCTGATTTCCCTGTCCAAACACTGACCACAGACACCCCCGCTGACCATACAAGACTAGACGGCACCAGAAGTGAAGGAAACCAGGAAATAGACTACTTTATTTGAACACAGATACAAGATATATACATTCAAGGGAGCAACCCCCCCCCCCTCCCTGCATAACGACACAGGGCGGGACAATCTACATTAAGTAACAAGAGACACACTAACAGACAGTCCCATCAAGAGGGCTGCTGAAGACACCCCCCACCAAGCCAATACACATAGACATACATCACATAATAGTTTGCTCCCAAGCAAGACACACAAGAGAACAATGGGATGCAACCACATGGCATTAAACAATTCACAACCCTCCACCCCCCAATATTAGGACAGATCACCCTGTACCCCTAACAGGCACAGGGTGACTTACACATAATAAGGATATGGGGAGCTAAGGCAGGGGTCTCCGCACCTCTCCAAAGTGAGCTGTGTTCCATGGGCCTCCCACCCAAAGTGACTCCCATCACATATCTCCCCTTTTGGCAGGGGACTAACGCAGGAGGAAACCCCAGACAGGTGGACTCCGAAGTTAGTCTGTACTTCCAGTCCCCCAATGCCAGCACCCACACAGTACCCCAAATTGTCCCACACAAAGCATTACTCACCCAGCCAACCTCTGCCTCTCTCATAGAACATACCCGCCGTTGTGGAGAAGTATGCTCTGGTCCTCCCTGAAGTCCTCTCAGCTGCTGGAGAGAAGACAGGGTGGCTGGGCCGACTCCATCATGCCGTTTGAGATCTGGGACGACTGCCCAGCATCACTGGGGTATCCAGGTGGTGACTGTAGTTGCTAGGCAGAGGCCAGCAGTGCTCTGTCCTGTTGCCAGCACTTCTGCTGGGGACCCCACATCTGCTCCGGCTAACCGTGGGGGAGGGAGGCCGGCTTCCTCCACTCCCAGACTGTGGATCTGCTCCTGGGATGGAATTCCTCTGTCACTGTCCCCCTGGTGCACAGATCCTGGCTTGGGAGGGAAGACAGTTTCCTCCACTCTGACTGACTGTGTGGGAGTGTGACAGGAGTGACTTTTGGGGGTGGGGGGACCCCTGTGTCAGCTCCCTAAATTACCCTTATGTTTAACCCACCCTGGGGTACAGGGTGGGAATGTCCGAGTATTGTGTATTGGTGTGGAGATTGTTCATTGTTCTCTGCCATGTGGTTGTCTATTGTTCACTGTTCTCTGCCAAGTGGCTGCATCCTATTGTTCTAGCAAACTATTATGGGATGTACTGTTTGTGTATTGGTGTGGGGGGTTGGTCAATGTTCACTGCCATGTGCATCCCATTGTTCTGTGTCTTGGTTTGATGGGACGGCCTGATGATGTGTTTCCTGTTACTGGTTGTATTTCCCCACCCTGTGTATATATCTTGTGTTTGTGTTAAAATAAAGCAATTGACTTCCTGTCTTAAGAAGATTCTGGTGCTATTTCCTGTAGGATCAGTGGTGGTGTCCGTGGGTTTGTGGTCGGACAGGGAAGCAGGAAATACCCTAGAGCAGTCGGGGTCCGTTACATTGGTGGTAAGCAGTGGGATTGTGCTTCCAAGCTGTGAACACATCCAAACCACCGGGATCCAAGAGCAGGAAAGGAGACGTCAGTCACCCCAGTGGAGATATGGACCTGGCATCAGAATTCCCAGGGTTGCTGCAGACTGTTCTTGCAACATACCCCAGGACTGTGTCTACAGATCAGTACCTGGAGCTAAGGCAGCGGATTTGGGAGGTGCTTTGGAGAGGAGACCTTCAGTCTGCTGGTATGGACAATG